ATTATCTGTTGCCGAAATGATAGATATTTAGATGGAGGTGTACTCTGAGCTAATTTTGGTGATGGAAGGGCACTTAACGATTTGCTAGTCATTGTTTCCAGTACTGTATGAGGAAAAATAAGGCAAACTGAATCATGTACACTTATTACCTAGATATGATTGTCATAATCTAGCAAATTAGACAAAAGACTTGTCACTCATAACAGAAAGTATCTGACAACATAGCAACAGGCAGTAAATGCATTCAGTTGTTTAATCCCAATGGATGGAGGATGTAACTTAGATTTTTGCACTTACTGCAAGCAATCCCGAACACCTGTATCCTATTGACACATCAGCTTTTCAAAAAAAACTGAATTATGGAAATCATTCAAACAGGGATACTTTTATGCTTTAGGTTGTGTTCAACTGATGAAGAAGAGACGAAGTGAAATAGATCTATGCTATTCTTCTTTGATGGTTTCTTATAACCAACTTCTTAAGTGGTATTGTGTAAATGAAATAACTGAAAATCTTCCCAATCTCTTTTTTTATTTCAAATGGAAAAAATTAGAATCTTAAACAATAAATTCTGCTGGAAATGTTATCCAATAAAGAGTACTGCAATAATGTGTCGAAAATGTAGCAACTAAGTTTAACATCCTAGTTACTAAGGGTTTTAGATGGTTTTTAAACACATACGCTGTAATTATTACAGCATTTCACTTACACCTCTAACCTTACAAGTCTTATGGGGAAAACATGCTTCTAAATGACAGGAAGATATTCACAGGTTTTATCACTAGATACTCATTTAAGGGTGATAATGCAGCAGATGGTAAGAGACTATCAAGATCCATAAACAGAGCATTCTTTGGTACCAATCTTAGAATCACATTCTCCTATCAGATGCTCATTCATCAGCACGCAAAGGATAAGCTGAAGCATTGAGCTACATCAGTGTGTGTATATCAGTTCACTTGTTCCCATGGAGCCGAGTATATCGGCCGTATCATGAATCAGCTAATACAAAGCGCGCGTGAACACTACCCAACTTCGCTAACAAGAGGAGAATATTAATGTATCCTCAACTCTGTAACAGAACACTTAGTAAACTCGGGACACTTGGCTCCTTTTGACAAAACCCTCAAAATTCTGTACAACATACCACCAGGCCGCTTGAAACGAGTGAGGCTAAGATATCTGGGCATAGCTGAAGCATTGGCCATTCAAAAGTTCAAACCATCATTATATGTTCGAAAGAAGTATGTACAACCTCTTTTTTCGCCATGCCCATCTTAGAATATCGGTCAATCTAAGTAACCCACATATGACATAGTTATTTTCATTTTGTAGTCATTTTGTTTGTTTCTCCATTACATAACTTTCTTTTGTGAAGCAACTTGGATTGACTTTTGACCAGAAATTACTCTGGAATGTTTTTTTCTTTCATACTATGTATTCACGAATGTGCAGCTATGAGAACAATTTCGTCAAAAAGAAAAATTTCCCTTCGATGAAACCATCTTCTGCGTTTAGCATGTGTTGACCAAAATAATACTAAAATGGCCAACTCGTACATACATCTGCATATACATCAACACAATATATCGGTCATGCAAACCAGCTGTATTTCAGTTCTAACTTGATGACTATTCAGGTTACAGACAACTTTATATGTGCAAATTAACTGTAAATGTCTCATAAACTGTGTTTTCCAATTGTTATCTGAAAATATACCCGTTTCAAAGCAAAGAAATATTTCTTGATCAGTAAAATCTTGTTCTTATTAGAAATAATTCAAACTTTCTACTAGGTTTACTAAACACCTAGGAATACTGAGTTTCCTCATGTAGACTGTTCAAAGTCCTGATGCGTTTTGAAGCTTACTTTCTGGTAATGGAATCTGGGACGCGCGTTTCATCCTATTTGGGATTGATCAGCCGGATGTACATGGACCCCAGTGAGTGATGGTGTTCCCACTGGGGCTGGAAGGTAGTACCCGTTGCTTTGAATGACAAGGCGTTATCCACCAGGCCACTGGGGCAAGGGGCCCATCTCTTTTACCACGATCAAAAGTTGTTGTATATTAATACTTGTACTAGCAACTTCATTGAATCGGTGTATATCGAAATAGCTGTGCAAACTGCCAGATGCTAAACAATAACTTTACTGTCGCTTGTTGATGGACAAGTGACTGGTTAAGCTGGAAAAAACTGTGGGTTACACCAAATGAAGTTGAAAAAACATGAATCATTAAAACTGAGGAAACTACACGTCTCCTTACACATTGCTTATCCCATGATTTATACATTTGTACATTTTTCAGTCTGTTCAGTGGCTATCCAGATGAAACACGCAAGATCCGTAGACTGAAATTCGACCTCATTCAATAAGCATGAACTACTACAAACTAACAATCAGATAATGATAAATCCAATGGAAATAAATACTGTAAAACAAAAAAACTATCAGAATTTCTTCGGGATATGTATACTTTCTATTTATATGAAAATGTAAAGGTTAATAATTGTGGATTAAAGACTCACCTTTTCATTCATAACTTCAAATGATGAATTTGATGCACGTGCTTCAATTTGTGCAGCAAACTGACTCAGGGATACATCTTTATTGTTTATCGAACTCTCGAATTTATTCATCGAATTGACATTTTCATCAATATTTCGACTGAATTTCTCGCCTGTCATAGAATGATCTGAGTATCTGCATGCACCAGGAGGTCGTCCACGCTGACCACGCCTTGGTGACAAGAAAGGAAAATTACGCTTATATATTGTGGATGCAGTTGAAGCTGTAGTGATTGTTGGTGTTGATGTGGACCAATTAATGAATTTTTTCTCATCACTTAACAGGTTATAATTTAATTTGTTCATTTTGTTTACTTCTCGTAACGTCAATGGACCACAACGAGTTTTTTTAGACTGATGATATTCTTGTTGAACAATTTCACTGTGTCGACTTTTTAGATGATTCAACATTGTTGTTGTTGTTCCAGAATTATTGAATGCCAATAAACTATCACAAATAATACATTGTGTATGGGCTAAATCTTTTGTACCCGTTTGTAATTCTGGATGGAAAAAATATTTCCATACAAATGACTTCTTAGTGCCAGTACGACTACCCCAATTCCCTGAACGTCGGGTGGAATTACGCCAAAAATTAAAAATTGGATTCAGTGCATTATTACGTTGAACATCCATATTCATATTCATCTTGATAATTTGACTGTTATTATTATTATGACTGCAAGAATTAATGTCAGCAATACTTGTAGAAGAAGAAGTATTAGTATTTAGTAAGTGTTTTTCACCGTTCGTATCTTCGGATCCTGCTTGCAAAGTTTGTGTTAGTTGATTCGTTTCAAGTTCACGAGGAATATCATAATTCGCGTCGGTTTGTTGATAAGTTTGACTAAAACTCATGCCTATTACACAGAGCAAAGAAACTAACATTAAAAATATGTCATCTATTTATATTTTCTCTAAGTTCTTTTCATTCCTTCTTCAATTCCTATTGGCTCGGTATTCGAAAGTCTTCGAAAATTGTGCGGTAGAGAAACTCTAACCAACGGATGCAGAAAACTATGCACTAAAAATATACTACCGGAGAACGATGAAGAGAGGGGTTTAGTAGACTAATATGCTTGGCGTTATAATTTTCTCTCTACCCCTTTTTGTTTGAACAAGATTCTGATTGGTTGATTGGTTTTGTGTGTTTGTTAGGCTAACCAATAAACGTGAAAAAATTTCTCAAGTGCAATACTACAAAATTATTTAAAGCATTTTATCAGCCAAAAATACTCTTTTAGAAAGGTTTAGTTGTTTTCCACTAATAAACAAATAATTTTCAAGCTAGTCATTCTGTTTAATCAGTTTTATTTAAGAGTAATTTTCAGTTGATGAAAGTTCCTAGCCCAGTTTGAAACATTACTAGTCCAACCTTTCTTATCAAAGTGAAGCAGCTATCAAATAGGAAAAAATGTATTGAAAAACTCATAAAAAAAAGGGCTAGAAAGTGAGTCCCGCTCATATCATATGGGCTAGTGATACTGCGCTGCTGTACAAGTCTTGAATGGTGGAGCTGTATCGCAAACCATGGCCCACCGTCAACAGTTAACTGTCTAAGCCAATGTACCATAACTGGTTTTACTATCCTTACAATTGCGTTACTGGAGTTTATTTAATATCTTAGCTTTGGTCAATAAAGTGCTTTTAATTTAAATTAAAAGCTCAGTTACTGTCTGATCACTAAGCTGTAAAGTTTTAATACGCATTATGAGGCATTAAAATCCCTGAGGTAAATTCTTTACTGCAGCACGCTGTAAAAAAATAAAGTTGGCATAAAACAGTATTTCGTTAGACAAGTTTATTTTCATTCGATGGTATTTGTGTCCAGCTACTCTATGAAAGAGAAACACTCAATCTCGTTAGTCTCATCACATTAACTTTTCACTTAAGCTGACAAAATAGGACTGATTTAATGGATATGCGATAATCTCATAAAGGCGGTAAATAAAGACTTGGTCATGCTATACATTGTTTTCTCTCATTAGCGACACTTTTAATACTAAGTATGTTAATTTTTATTGTTTGATACTCGAATTTTACTTTGGTATGCACAGTAGAATTGGCAGGTGGGCTCCCATGCGGAGGTTTCGATAATACCTGACATTCTTGATATTGTAATGATCTTGATGACTGGCAGTGGCATCGAGAAGGCGTGTTTCGTCCTATTTGGGATTCTTCAGCCCCAGTGGCCTGGTGGATAACGCTTCAATGTTTGAAGCGACGTGTGTGTGGCCTGAGTTTCAGTGAGAATTACATCACTCACTGGGATGCATGTGCTTCCAGCTAACGAGTTCTGAATGGGATGAAACATACATCTTGATATCCGCTGCTAGTCACCAAGACTAATACAATATTATGCTAATATTGTCTGTATTGAATTCCAAGGAGTGAAGATACAGTTTAAAATGGAGAATACTAATTGAAAGTGTTTTGGTTTATGGTAATATGATTCAAAGTGGTAATTAGACTTGAGATTGAAGAGTTTCTGAGAATAATTTTAAATATTTTTGGCTCCTTTTTGTCCTTAGACTGATCTCAACACTAGGCATCAACCAGTCTTTCTTCTCGGTCACACTCACATCTAACATAAACTTAATTTCTTCTAAATATAAAGACGGACATTTCCCATGGAACGTAAGCAATATTGCGAAATATGCTTAGAAAAATCCTGTTCCATCTTAAGATACATAGGTAAAGAGATGAAATCATGAAAGCTATATCCGTAGCTCAGGCACTGGACTTTTTTCGAAGAACGGTATTATTCAGCTAAATCTGTTAACCATTAGTAAATTATCTGGGTATCTGGAAAATTCCTTGTTGCAGAGATTTGGTCTATCAGATTAAATTGAATTGGTTTTGAACGGGAACTTTGTTAGTTTCTTACATATGCGATCGGCATTTCATACTTCAAAAACATATCAAAGCACAAAACGTAATTCGTAACAAATTATTTATTTTTACATCACATCGAAGTAAAATAATATGTTTCCTTGATGAAATGCTATCTGATATATCCGATTAACGAAATACATAAGATTTTAATTTGGAGGTTTGTGGGAATTTATTGATTTCACGTTGGTATTCATCATGAACTGACAACAGTTAGAGGGACATCGGAAACCTGGGAGGATTAAGTTAATCCATTGCTCATTGGTGACTAGCTTCAAGAGGTGATTCCCGAAGTTCCTATGAGAAGTCGTGTGCGGTGGGACAAACCGGATGGACTTGAAGGCAAATACTCAACGATGACATTGGGTGATGGTCACGCTATATGGTGAACTGACAGAAGTAGGAAATATGTATCATCGGATTCCTGCCCAAAATCTCAGAGGTTGGTGTTTTCACCTCACAACCTTAAAAATGATCACGAGATTTACGGGTTCTCAGAGCTGTCTACAACCAAATTTCATCAAGTGATCGACTGATTTTGAATCATACCGAAAATCATCTTCAAATCCAAGGAAATTTTTACATTTATTACCCGAAAATTTCCCAAAAATTTTCCGTTGAAGTTACAGAAGGAACGGTAAATCTGCATTTCCTTAGGAAATAAAGATGCTTTGATATTATCACAATCAGGCCAAGGTGGGAAACAGACACAGAAAGATATTAAACCCGTAAAGAGAAAAAAATGAAGCTAATACAAGAGCTATCATAGTTATTTCAAGTATTTCCGGTAGATACGACTATTCAAGAGTATTTGTACAATTTAACTGAGTTAATCGTTTACATTTATGTGGGTGTCATGAATAACCTGTGCAGATTTTATTCATTGAGGACAATCTTTACTTTTGCATTTTTTAATGAATTAGTTGGCAGCTGGTGTGTGAAAGATAGACGTTATAAAAGAGAGGTCAGTTAGAGATAAGTAAAAGGAAAGAACAACCTAGTGATATCCTTTTTTCTTGGATCTAAACACCTCTTTTTCAAATGTTGATAATGATTGCTATAATCCTTGATGGTAAATTTCTCTTTTTGAGCATGTATATATTGACAGAAGTTAGAAACTGTTGACCATTGGACTCCAACCTAGCGGCTAAAAAGTTGATGCGTTGGCCGTGGAATTTGAATCTCCCGAGTTCGATCCCTTGCCGCCTCTTGAGTGCATACTACTGAGGAGTCATATACCAGGACGAAACAGCTGTCCAGTACTCTCACGTTTTCACTATTTATCCAGCTGATGAACACTACCCTGTCTATACATAAAACGACGAAACTGATCTGTTAAATAATAAAATCAGATCACAGTAACTGGTACATGTGCATAGTATAATGGTGATAATAAAGAGAATAGCTTCAGAACGTCACGCACAACAATTGCACAGTAATCATTCAAGGGTGCTTGTGTGACAGTCGATACTAACCAGTTCACTTTTATGAAGTGAAAATGAAGAATTTATATGGTCCAAATTATAAGCAGTACTACTTACACATGGACAGACGGCGGCAACTCAATGGCTTAGTCGTCGACGTTTTGCTTTCTGAATAGATAAGCACTCAGTCTGAGCCTTGAGAGGGACGCAGTCATTCAAGAGGATGCGAATAAACCTCACTAACAAGTTAAAGCCGGGGGGAAAGCAGCATTCTACATCTCCTTGCTAACTGTCAGCAAACGAATAACATGAGACTAGTTATATTAAAGGATTTGTATTCTAACGAGATGCTTCTATACTAAAATTTGAATACGTTACTATATTTGTCAAATATATATACTTATTGCTTTAAGATCTAAAGGTGTAATGTCACTTTTACAGAACTAATTAGTTCACTTTCTTCCAGAACTAACTATAGATAATTTGGACAACTAGCTGCATAACTTGCTACTCAAATAATTTATTGACTGGTTAACTTCAGTGTGGTATAAACATTTTGTAATCCAAAATGCACATTGGATTAGAGTATTCCCTAATTAGTTAAATGTTTTTCAATGAAATGCACTAAAGTGTAAATGGAATTATCAGAAATAGTGATGGTTTAGCGGATTGCACCATTCAGGTAAGAAAGAGATTTATGGAGATATGAGTTGCAACAAAATCCCAGTTGAAAAGGCCAAATGTTACCGCTTAGTGGACTTTTTCTTGACTTTGAACCTTACTGTGTAACAACAGTAAGTGATGAAGAAATTATGTTTATATCTGGTTGGTAGCTAGCAGTGCAATCCAGGACGTGAGTTTCGCCCCATTTGGGACTCGTCAGCCAGATGTACATGTACCCCAGTGAGTGATGTTGTTCCCATAAGGATTCGAGCCCAGTACCCGTCGCTTCAAACGCTAAAGCGTTGTCCACTAAGCCACTGAGGCACGATGGTCACCTCTTGTGCAACTGCCCCACGTCCTACAATTTCAGTTTTAGCATTTTTCTTCAGTTGGTAATACAGTTTTCAATTTAAGATGATTGTTGGACCCGTGAAGGTAGGCTATTTCTACTGGTTGCAGTAGTAGCTGTCCTAAGAAACATAAAGTATTTTTTAAGAGTTACACCATCTATTTACTCTATTTTACCCATCATTTCAAGGAAACTGTGAATCTCCTTACTTTCTGATTACTTCACTCCATGTACAAATTGATGAATAGGCCGTTTTGTTCAATACTGTTTGTTTTACGTCCTTGGACATGTTAGCATGACTTTTATGACAATCATACTCGTTAGGTCGTTGATTCACAAGGATATTTTCAGATCAGTGATGAACAGCACCAAACGATTTCCGACCTCCCTCTGTATCAAGAATATTTGCTCAGCTTTAACACTCTTTGTATACTTATAAATTGAAGGCAGGTTGACTACTGATAAGAAACAAGCTATAGAAACCAGTTTCTTTGTAGCTGACGTCAGTACACCCTTGGTTGTGAATAAAA